CCCCATTGCAGGGATCTGTGTGGCTGACCCCTATGAGATAAAAGTAACGAAAGATTTTTTCATTGACCTCCATCTGCCCTACTCTGTAGTGAGGAATGAGCAGGTGGAAATCCGGGCTATTCTCTACAACTATCAGTACCAAACAATTAAGGTAAGCTTACCGCCTCATCGGGCTCTGCAATGGACCTGAGGTGTCAATGCTTTGACAGACAGCCAAACCAAAACAAAATGGTGGAAGGCTTGTTCTTCTAGGGCCTGATCCCGTTGGAGCTGGACACCCTGGTCTCTCATTGACCTTGTTGAGTGCTCAGCACCTTGCAGGATCAGGGCTATGGAATCCACCCAGTTAAGAACATAAGAATGGCCAGACTGGGTCAGACCAATGGTCCATCTAGCCCAGTATCCTGTCTTCTGACAGGGGCCAGTGCCAGGTGCTTCAGAGGGAATGAACAGAACAGGTAATCATCAAGTGATCCATCCCCTGTTGCCTATTCCCAGCTTCTGGCAAGATTGCATGATACAGAGGGAGGTAAATAAATACCCTTCTGTCTGCCATTCTTCTCTGGCTGGGCCTCAAATCTGTGAGTGGGTACCAGGCTCAGAGCTTTCTGCTGACTCACACCAGTAGCCAGACCAGGTGGGTCTCATTACTTCCACTCAGGAACACCACAGGCTGAGGGCCTCTCTGAGGCAGGACAGAACTAGAGTGAGTCGTGAAGGGCCTCTCAGGAAGGAGGTCAGGATATAGTCATGTGCTTTGTAAGTACAGTCCTGTCTGTTATTTATTAAGATTAAAGGCAAACTCCAGTCAGAGGGTACATTTTGGATCAATGCCCTACAGTGTCATGGTGGGCAGACTGCCTGCTCATGAATCTCTGTTCTCTTCTCAGGTCCGGCTGGAGCTGCTGCACAACCCAGTTTTCTGCAGCGCATCCACTTCCAAGGCTAAATACCGGCAGATCCTTGACATCAAAGCCAAGTCCTCCCTGGCCGTGCCATTAGTGATTGTCCCTTTGCAGCTGGGATCTCACTACATTGAGGTCAAGGCAGCAGTGTGGGGCAGTTTTGTGTCTGATGGCGTGAGGAAGAAACTGAAGGTTGTGGTAGGTATCAGGTGACCGGGGGGGGGGGGGGGATGTCTGCTGGATGGCAAGAGGCTGGAGGCCAGATTGGCTGGCTTCTGGAATCGGTGCTGTCCCTTAACCTGTTAAATTAACACCCTGCATCTCCATCCTCGTCTCACTTCCTCCCCTCCCTGGTGGCAACTACAGCAGGGCTGGGGCTGGCCTGGTTATCTTGCACTCGATCCTCTGAGCCGTCATATAAGAGACCTAGGTTCAGTTACTCAGGACCGGGGTCTTGCTCCTTGGACCAGTGGGTGCTGGAATCAGTGCACCCAGGGAGAACCTCATATCACTTGGCAGAGAGAGCTGAGCAAAGGAGCAGCATTGGTGGGTTGTGAAGGGTGTCCCATTGGCCTGTCCCAGGAGATCACTGTAATGCTGGGTGAGAGGAAGATCCTCCACTGCAGATCAGGGCATAGAAAAGTCCTTGAGGGAGGTCACAGAGCAATGATAGAATGAATTGAGCTTCTCACTTCCTCGCCTTGCCAGACTCTGTAGTCCAGATTCATAAGAATGGCCATACTGAGTCAGACCAAAGTCCATCTAGCCCAGTATCCTGTTCTTAAGGCTAAATTCCACTCTGGCACTTCTAGTGCAGAAGGTGGGGGCCCGCAAGGATTCTAAAAATTAATACTTGCCACTCCAGGCTTGTATTAAACTCCCAGAGTTACAGCTTTTCTCTGACCTTGGCTTGGTAAACGCTGCCACCACCCAAATGCAAAAAAAGCCCCCTTGAACTCAGGAAGGAACATTTGGGAATTCCTCCCTGTGGGGTACTCTCAAGCCCTTTCACCCCTCTTCCCCCTTCCCCCCTCGGGAAGAGTTGAGAAAAAAAACAAAGGAAATTAGTTGTAGCCACCAGCTAATCAAACAGCAGAAGCACAAACCTCTTAGGACACAAAAATCCAAATACTTCTTAAAAAACGGTAAATTTTATTAAAAACAAAAGGAAGAAAATACATCTGGAACTTAGGCTTTTGCTAGATTTTAAAAGAGCAATTCCAAAAATTAAGCACCCAAACTAGCTTTCTTGGGGGTTCAGCTTAAAGGTTACAAACAAACAAAAGCATCAGGGTTTAGCACAGAGGAGATCCAAAAGCCCAAATAAGAAATAAACTTGATTGTGTCTAACTAAACATTCCCTATCCAAATAATTTCTTCTAGGTATGGAAGATACTTTTTCATACCTGGTTCAAACCTTACATAGGATTGCTGCTCCGTGTCCCTCCAGCCCAGAGAACAACAGACAAAAGGAAAGTTTCTTTCTCAGTTTAAAAAGTTCTAGCCTTCCCATTGGCTCTTTTGGTCAGGTGCCCACTTCTTTTCTTTTACCTGTGAGCTTGTTAACCCTTTACAAGTAAAGCAAGCAGAGAACAGCTGTCAAGAGGGATTTTACAGCTAACTGGCTGGCTGGGTGTCCATCAAAGGGAGCTATCCCTCCACTTTATTTATCACCCCCACCCCCAAATCAGAGATGGTGCTGGTCAGCCTGGTTCAGGTCAGGTCCACACCGCCTGGGATTTTTTCCTGGAGGTTTAGGAAGCAGAGTTAATAAGATACACGCACCTCTAATTTTACTAATAATTACATGAAGAACTAAACAGTACTTTTTACATTTCAAGGATTACAATGACTTAGAATACAGGGACATTTTTACCCGGCTGATTCTGGGAAACCTTTCCGAGAGAGTACATCAGCCTCTTTGTTAGAGGCTTCTGAGGTGTGTTGTATTTCAAAATCAAAGTTTTGAAGAGCTAAACTCCACCGAAGACGTTTTTTGTTAGTCTCTTTGACTGTGTGAAGCTACTTCAGTGCAGCATGGTCAGTCTGCAGGTGGAACCGCCATCCCCAAATGTATGGGCGTAGCTTCTCCAGAGCGTACACAATGGCATAACATTATTTTTCTGAGACCAACCAGTGGCTTTCCCTCTCAGAAAGTATTTTGCTGAGAAACACGACAGGATGGAATTGTTGATCTGGTCCTTCCTGCATTAAAACTGCTCCTACACCACGCTCAGGCATCTGTGGTTACGATGAAGGGTTGATTGAAGTTTGGGGCCCTTAGTACAAGGTCAGACGTAAGGGCCGCCTTAATCTGGTTAAAGGCTTTCTGACACTTCTCAGTCCACTGAACTGCATTTGGCTGTTTTTTCCTGATCAGGTCTGTCAGTGGGGTGGCAATTTGGATGTAGAGTGGTACAAATCATTGGTAATACCTGGCCAAGCCCAAGAAGGATTGGACCTCCTTCTTTGACTTAGGGACAGGGCAATTTTGGATAGCATTTACCTTAGCCTGGTGTCCAAGGTACGTTACCCTGTTTAGGCCTATTTGACACTTTTTGACCTTAACGGTTAATCCTGCCTCCCTTATGTGCTGGAAGATAGCTTGGAGATGTTCCATGGGTTCTGCCCATGAATCTGAGAATATAGCCACATCGTCGACGTAGGCGACTGCAAATTCCGCAAATCCATCCAGAAGGTTATCTACCAACCACTGGAAGGTGGTGGATGCATTTCACAGTCCGAAAGGGAGCACATTAAATTCATACACCCCTACATGGGTGATGAAGGCTGACCTTTCCTTGGCTGGGTCATCTAGCGGCACTTGCCCCTTAGTTAAGTCTAAGGTGGAGCACTGGGCACATCCCAGTTTCTCCAGTACCTCATCTGTGCATGGCATTGGACAGTTTTCTGGGTGAGTTACAGCATTTAGCTTATGGTAGTCCACACAAAAGCGGATGTCCCCATCTGGATTGGGAACCAGAACCACTGGAGAGGCTCATGCACTCTTAGAGGGGCGGATTACACTCATCTGTAACATGTCCTTGATCTCCCTTTCTATTGCGGTTTTGGCTTGAGGAGCCATCCAGTAGGGTTGGGCTCTAATTGAGCGAGCATCACTTGTGTCAATGGAGTGGTACGCCCGTTCTGTCCATCGTGGGGTGGCTGAAAACATTGGCGTGAAGTTGAGGCATAGCTGCTGGATTTGCTGTCGCTGCTTACGCCCAAGGGTGATGGAAAGGCTCACCTCTTCTATGCCACCATTGCTTTTTCCGTCATAGTAGACTCCTTCAGGCCACTCAGTGTTGTCTCTCTCCTAGGCTGTAAACTGGAGAACCTTGAATTCTCAGGGAATAAAAGGGCTTTAGACAATTAACATAGTATACTTTAGGTTTTAGGGTAGAGTCTGGCAACGGTATGAGGTAATTAACAGCTCCCAGGTGCTCTTGAACCATAAATGGCCCCTCCCACAACGCTTCCATCTTATTGGCCTGGAGCAATTTCAGGACCATGACTTGGTCACCTACTCTGAAGGAACGCTCTCTGGCATGTTTATCATACCAGGCCTTTTGCTCTTGTTGAGCATCCTGTAGGTTTTTCCAAACAAGGCTTAGAGAGTCCTTGAGGGTGCTTTGCAGGTTGGTTACAAAGTCCAAAATGTTAGTTCCTGGAGAAGATGTAACCCCCTCCCATTGCTGCTTCACCACCTATAATGGCCCCGTAACTTTGTGGCTGTAAACGAGTTCAAAGGGTGAAAATCCCAAACTGGGATGTGGTACAGCCCTGTGGGCAAAGAGCAACTGCTGCAACACTAGGTCCCAATCACTGGAGTGCTCATTCATGAATTTATGTATCACGGCCCCCGAAGTCCCATTAAACTTCTCCACTAGGCCATTCGTTTGATGGTGGTCAGGGGGGCAACCAAGTGGTTCACCCCATGAGCTTCCCAAAGACGTTTCATGGTCCTTGCCAGGAAGTTAGTTCCCGAATCCATAAGGATGTCGGAGGGCCAACCTACCCTGGCAAAAATGTCTGCCAATGCCTGGCTAATGCTTTTAGCCCTGGTGTTGCTTTGAGCTACAGCTTCCGGCCATCGAGTGGCAAAATCCATGAAAGTCAGCATATACTGCTTTCCTCTGGGTGTCTTCTTAGGGAAAGGACCTAGAATATCCACAGCTACGTGCGGAAATGGAACCTCAATGATGGGGAGTGGCTGGAGAGGGGCCTTGACCTGGTCGTGGGGCTTTTCCACCCTCTGGCACACCTCACAAGACCAGACATAGGTAGAAACGTCCATGCCTTTTTCCTCCCAGTGGAATGTCTTCCCCAAACAGTCCTTGGTCCTGTTTACCCCAGCATGGCCACTAGGGTGATCGTGGGCTAAGCTCAAGAGCTTTTCCCTATACTTAGTTGGAACTACCAAGTGTCTCTGAGGATACCAGTCCTCCTTGTGCCCACCAGAAAGGGTCTCCTTGTATAAGAGTCCTCCTTCTATAACAAACCTGGACCTATTAGAAGAGCTGAGAGGTGGTGGGTTGCTCTGTGCCGCCATCCAAGCTTCCTTGAGTCTTCCATCTGCTTCCTGCTCTGCCTGGAACTGCTCCCTTGATGCTGGAGACATTAGTTCCTCGCTGGGTTATGGACGTGGGCTTGGTCCCACTGGAAGCGATACAGGTGATGGGGTTGTTTCTGTCAACTGTGATCCGCTCTCCGCTGGTGCACTAGGTGGTATTTCAGGCTCCAGTTGAGCCTCTTGCGCCGGTTTAGCTGCTGCTGGTGCAGGCTCTGTGGCGCCCTTTGGTGCTGGCTCCCTTGACTCTGGTCGGGTTGCAAGCATTGGCTCTGGTGCTGACTGCTCCACCCGTTCCGATCCTTGGGCTGGTTCTGGCTCGGTCCTAGGAACTGGATCTACAACTGCTGCCTTAGACTTTGGTTTGGGGTCTGGTTCCACCACCTCTGGCTGGGTTCCTGTAGGAGGCTGAGGAATGGAGTTAGGTGTGGAGGCCTGTTTAGCCTGGCTGCGGGGGACCAACCCCACCCTTTTCGTTAGCCTTACATGGTTGGCTAAGTCTTCTCCCAGCAGCATGGGAATGGGATCATCGTCATAGACTGCAAAAGTCCATATTCCTGACCAGCCCTTGTACTGGACAGGCAACTTGGCTGTAGGCAAGTGTCATGAATATAGGGGGAAGGGTAGC